GCCGACTATATGATACCATACACACCAAGCACACTTAGTAGAGTTCCCGACAGTTGTTAAATTTATTCCAGTGACAGCTCATCATATTTTTTACAAGCGTACAAAAGCATTTTGATGAGAATTTTCCAGAAAAAAAAGTTATTCGTGATGCACTTCAAGCGTGATAGTGTGATTTCTTTATATTTGGCTTAAAAACTACAAGTGGCTATCGTTAGAGCACTCTAGCATTTAAATGTAAATAAATTTTTTGTGTCTCGTACCATCGCTCGTTACCGTGATACTGGTAGCGTATCCCAACGTCAAGGAAGTGGACGAAAGAAAACAGCAACATCAGCAAAAATAGTTCGAAAAGTAAAGAAGCGACTTCATCGAAACTCGCGTCACAGTGGCCGAAAAATGGCTCGTAAGCTGAATATATTGCAATATTCCATTGGGCAAATATGGAAAAATGAGCTCGGGGTAAAGCCATTGAAATTCCAAAAAGGGCTATAAGTTACACCGCAACAGAAGGAAAATAGACTCAAAAAAGCTAAAGAGTTGCTTCGCTTGGCCGAAAGTGGTGAACCGCCGAATTTGGTTTTCTCCCATGAGAAAACATTCGTTGTCCAGCAGTTTGTAAACAAACAAAACGATCGTCTTTTCTTGGCAAAGGGGTCAGCTGAAAATGTGCACCATGGTGATGGTGTGGGCCGCCATAACACCATCGATCGTGGCATCAGAGTAAATGCCGAATATAATCGGGAAAATATTCTGGAGGGTGCACGCAAACATTTTGGTCGCAGACCTTGGACATTCCAACAGGTTTCAGCACGCGCCACCCAAGAATGGTTACAAAATGAGGTTCCTCGCTTTATTTCCAGCGCACAAGGGCACCAAAATCTCCAGAAAGCAAAGTTGGCACTAACAAATACCAAAGTGTCGATCACCTCAAGCAAGCGCTTCTCCGGAAATGGGCCGAAATATCAAAATTCGTGCCAAAGGTGGCCAATTTGAACAAATCTAAACATATTCTAAGAGTTGATGCTATTTGATGATTTGTTTTGACTTGAGAGATGATCGAAAATTGTTAACCCTTTGTGGCGGAGGTACCAGAGGTAGTGGAGCAGTATCTCTCATCTTCACGTCATATCTTGTATTAGTATTATATATATATTTAAGTAAAAGCATTGGGATGTGATTTGAAGAGAATCGGATGTTTATTTTGCATTTTATGAGAGACATAATTAATAAAAATTTTAACCCGATATGGGGTAGGCTCCACAAGTAGTTGTTCGACATATTCCATCTTCACATCTGGTTTTGTGTTGATAGAAATATTGGGATATGTGAAATTAGAAAAAATCGGATGTTTATTTGGCATTTTATGAGAGATATAATTATTACGAATGTTGACCCTTTTTTGGGGGAAGTACCAGAGCGAGTGTTCCGACATATTCCATCTTCGTGCATGGTCTTGTGTTGATAGACATATTAAGATGTGTCGAATTTGAAAGGATTCGCATTCCGATACAAATATTGGAATGTGTTAAATTTGAAGACAATTGGACCCTTATTTCATATTAATAAGAGTTATAATTATTCCAAATTTTGACCTTTTGTGGGAGATGAAGTAGGCCTAGACCTAACCTAGCAATGACAAAATTATTGGAATTTGCAAAGTTTGCACAAAATCGAATGATTCTTTCTCTATTCTACAAGGTAAATTATTTTCCTTGAAAATGTTGGCCTTTTGTGGGGTGGTACCAGAAGGAGTGGAGGGATATTGCCCAACTCGATCTTGGTATGGCAATAATACTTTCCTCGAGAGTTATCGTGCGAATCAAACAGTAAGATGGGCGGACACCCCTAGATCGACTCCAAATGTCCTGAAACGGATTTGGTCCAAAGAGACATATTTCTAAAACCATTATTTCGAGGCATGTTCTGGTGATATATGATATATACCCTCTGCAGCGTAATGGCTGAGTGTTTTTAATTGTAAATAAATATGAAATTCTTTACTTCACAGCAATAATGAAACTAATAAATTTTTCCAAATTCTCCGTTTTAATATTTCGAGTTCTTAAACAAGTTGATAACAAATAACACATTTATTTTTTCGCAAACACTTGAACCTATACCAAATTACTCTTTTTAATTGTATTTGAAAATGCAGTTTTTTGTTTGCTTTAGTTTCGTATTTCAGTCACACTAGTTGTTTTTACCACATCATCCGTTTCGGAATAGAAACTTCCGTGCATATGTTTGCCGGACATCGTGTTGTATATCCGTAATATCAATTTTTTGCCACTGAAGTTGTGAACATCCCATGAAACTTCGCACAAAAAAAGAAGAGAGGAACGAAAAAAAAAACGAACAGCATACAAATTATTTGTACACATTTCCATTTAGCTATTTGAGGACTTTGTGTCGTTTCTGGTCTGTTGTATTGGCTTTTGGGTGATAGCTGTTGCTTTGGCAAAGTTTTCCAAAAAAGTTATGCTGTAGTTATTTTTATGTAATTCAGATAAATACTGGCAAACGACAAAGTTTATTGAATAACAGATATTTTATGATTTTTTTAAGCCATAATGGTCCGGCAGGCATAAAAACCAAATAGAAAAGGAAATTACAAAAACAAACAAACTGCACATTTGTTGAGTGGATTTTATTTCAATTGCAAGAAATTTAAAATATTAATTCGTAATGGAAATTGAAAAATAATGCCTGCCTTATTTTAGTATCTTCTTTACTTTTTCAAAAACTATGACAAATTAGGCCATCTTATGTCACAAATTTGTACAGCTTAGATAAAAAGGATTTGAAATTAGTTTCATCTAAAAAGGATCTGTATGCAATAAAATGATATCGTAACACATTGAATGTACTTTTGAATCTAAGCCGATTTGAAAACAAATTTATGTGGAAGCACTCTTTACCCTTTACGAAATATTATTGTATTTATCTGTTTAAATGTTATGAAGCTCAAGATTAGGATTATATTTTAAATCGCACAGAATAAAATGAAAATTTCGAAAAATAAATTATCAAAGAAATATTAGTTCTACCAAATTTAAATGCATTAAGGAACAATCTGCAATATAGCAAGGGTATACTATGTTCGTTATTCCGTTTGTAGCTCCTCGAAATGAACATTTTAGACGCACAAAGTATATATTTTCTTGATCAGCAAAAGATTATATTCCAATCTTCTAATCTTGCCTTGTCCATCTGTCATTTTGCGGAAATTACTTACGATTCCGAAGGGGAAAAATTCCAGGGCAGTTCACCCATTTTAAGATCAAGGTTGTATACCCATATACCTGTACCGCATGATTTAAGGTGTTTTGTAGGTTTCACTCACAATTTTAATCAGAATTTGTTGTTAACTGGCAGTTTGTGTCCCCAGTACGCAGGAAACATACTTGCAGAGCACTCCATATATAGGGTGAAATAAAAAAATGCAACAAAGTCAAACGCCATAATTTTTACGTTTTTTTTTTTATTTTTTTTTAAGGAAAGCAAAAAAGTCGGAAATACCATCAAATTTAAGAATAAGTTTGGATTTGTTCGAATTGGTCACCTTTGGCCTTCAAACGCCAATGGAACCGTCAAACGCTGCCCGAATGTTGCTCTGAATAAGCCCATTCCCCGCGAAGTGCTTGCTTGAGGCGATCGACACTTTGGTATTTTTTAGTGCCAACCTTTCCGAAATACTCCAGACACAATAGTCCAACGGATTGGTATCCGGAGATTTTGGTGGCCATTGTGCGCTGGAAATGAAGAAGAACGCGTGCTGAGTGCGATGGTGCTGACTCCTGTTGGAATGTCCTAGGTCTGCTGCCAAATTTTTTTGCGTGCCCAAGGCTTTAATACACCTGAATATTTTCGCCATAATTTTCGGCATTTATTCTGATGCCACGGTCGATTAATACGAGTGGATAGCGACCATCGCCTGTTACGGCGGCCCACACCATCATCACCATGGTCGGCGATTGAGTTCTGGTGGCTAACCGAAGGTGCACATTTTCAGCTGACCTTTTTGGCAAGTAACCTCGATCATTTTCTTTGTTTACAAACTGCTGGAAAACGAATGAATTCTCATCAGAGAAAACCAAATTCGGCACTTCACCACTTTCGGCCAAGCGAAGCAACTCTTCAGCTCTTTTGGGTCTATTTTCTTCCTGTTGCGGTGTAAGTTCTTGCACTTTTTGGAATTTCAATGGCTTTACCCCGAGCTAATTTTTCAATATTTACCGAATGGAATATTGCGATATGTTCAGCTCACGAGCCATTTTCGGCTACTTGCACGCTGGTTTCGATCAAGTCGCTTCTATACTTTTCGAGCCATTTCTACTGAAGCTGCGGTTTTCTTCCGTCCACTTCCTTAACGTCGGGCTACGCTAATACCAGTATCATGGTAATGAGCGATGGTACGTAACATTGAATTCCATTACGAACAACTTTTTTTTTGGAAAATTCTCACCAAAATGCTTTTGTACGCTTGTAAACAATATAATGAACTGTCACTGGAATAATTTTAACATCTGTCGGACGAGTGCCTTAGAAATGACAGCAGTCTGAAGTTGGTTGCAGTTTTTTCATTTCATCCTGTATGGGAGCTATATCTAAATTTGAACTGGTTCACATCAATTTGAAAGGGTTCGTCCTTGGGCCAAACAAATCTCGTTTGAATTAACTATGGGTCTATCTCGCTTCCTTCTCCATGTTATAAACAAATGCCCAAAGGCATAATACCCTTACCACTATGTGGTGTATATGAAAGCTATATCCAAATCTGAATCTGGCAGTGGTATTTCTGAGCGTTATTAGATACATCATATTTGGGCGAAAATTGCACACATTGCGCACATGTTTCAATAAGGTTCGTCCTTTGGCCAACAAATGATTTGTGGAAAATTTCATTACATGCGGAATATAAATGCGACCTGTACTTTATTTACAAAAATACATAAACAGATGGACGGACGGACGGACGGACTTGGAAAAATCGACTCAGTATGCGACTGTAGGAAGATCATTAAAATGAACTATGGGTTTATTTCGTTTTCTCTCTCCATGTTACAAACAAATGAACAAAGACATAATACCCTGTACCACAGTGTGGCATAGGTTATAAAAATGTTAAATATTTTTAACCGTAATCAGAGCCGAGTGAATTTCCTCGACTTAAACTCCGACTCAAACAAAATTGACCAACTTCACAGTTCAAACTCAAACACTGTTAATGAAATCATTTTTTTGCACTTCACAAGCTCTGACACACTCACCTGTTTTCAAAATTCAATTACAGACTTTAAATCACTCGTTTAATTTCCTATCATTTTTTATATAAATATTATTACTTTTGTTAAATTATTAAAAAACACCATGACTTGGCAGTGCAGAAAATATAACTTTTTCCTATATCCGTGAACTTTACACCCAGCACGCTGACTATGGAATAAACGCTCCACACGAATATTGTTGAATGTGTTTGCCATACTCTACTCAAGGTATCTTGGTTAAATTGTGGGTGGAGGGGTGGTGTGGGTGTTAAAAATACATAAGCAGAATTTCCTGGCGTGCATACATTATTTATACTCACTCCCACCCCTCCTCCATACAGAATCAACAAATTTATTATTATAATTCGCAGCGAATCACTTTGGACGTTGTGTTTATGCTTGAACGACTACTATAGGTATCCAATTAAATGCTACAAGACAAATAATGAATATTCATCCATTAGTACGCCCACTCTCGTGTCGCAACATCTTCGTCAACATGTTATGCTCATGGTTTCGATTGTGGATTAATAAAATATATATGTGCAAGGTATACAGATATATGCAAATCGACATCCACACATATTTGTGTCTAACTACATGAATGAGGAAGTTCTTAGAAAATTTACTTAAACATTAGATTTGGTTGCATAAACTCTAACATCCTAAAATCTTCTTACCGGATATTATTCAAACGAAATAAGACTAAACATTGATTCTCATCAATTACTGGAAATACCACATAATTCTGGAATACATTTAATGTGATTACAGAAATATATTTCAAAGACAAAGAGTAAATTAAAAGATTTTGTTTTAAAATTTTAGAAGATGGAGTTGTAAGATAAAAGCGAAAGTTGGGGATTTTTTTCCCATAAAAAATTATGTTTATTTTAAGGCTTCGTGTGATTTTAAGGTATAACCATTATTAATGCATATTCCGGCTTTAGTGTGATTTATATTTTGAATTGTATTTGTATTTGGAAAAAATCCGTTTCAGGACTGTTGGAGTCGACCCGTCCGCCGGCTGGCTGGTGTCTGTCAGGCTGGAACTAAAACTCTCGAAAATAGTATCCGATTTGGTCGGATATTATTATAAAAATTAGATCGAGTTCGGAGGTAGACAAGTGGACCCATGTACACCTCACCCACAAGGGGTCAACATTTCCATATAATTTATCCATCAAAAAGGAAATTAAAAAAATATCCAATTTCATTCAAATATTGCAAATCCCAATATTCGCATTTGTCATAGGTCGTGCGTGAGGTCGTCAAGTACCTTCCCCACAAAGAGTCAAAATTCTGAATTATTATCTCTGTCGTGAAATGCGATATAAGAATTCAATTTCGCACATCCTAATATTTTTGTTAACAAAAATCTGACTTGAAGATGGGATGTATCGGTCTACTCCTTCTTGTAACTCCCCCACAACGGGTCAACACTTTGAATAACCAAAACGATCATAAACTGCGAATTGGCCAACCAATTCCTTTCCAGTTTCCTACTGATACCTCCTCAACAACAGGTCAAAATTTGGAATAAGCATCCGATTCCTTTCAAAAAGAAAAAATCTCAATATTTTTATCAACAGAGGATCTGGTATGAAGATGGAATATATCGGACCAATCCTTCTGACTTATTTCAGATACGAAATGGACAATGTTGACCAATCCTGTCAGAAACTCCCCCAAAAAATATATATGTAAAAAAAATAGACATTGGCTAAGAGTCTACATCTGTCGGCAAAACCAACTAATACTTTTGAACTTGTTATACCTTACACCTCACTGTGGCACAGGGTATTACGATCTTGTTTTTAGTTTTTTTTATACCCTACACCAAATAGTGGTGTTTTTTTGCATTTGTTTGTAACAGGGCGAAGGAAAAGAGATAGACCCATAGTCACTTTTAAGGATATTCATAGAATAACTTTCTCAGTCGATTTATGCATGTCAGTTCGTCCGTCCGTACGTCCGTCCATGTATTCTTGAAAACAAAATTAAATTTTGCAAACAATATTTGTTTGGTCCAAGGACGAACCCAGACTCGGATCAGATTTACATATACCTCCCATGTATCTTCAACCGATTTCGGCCAATATACGTCCTAATGACCTGAATTTCGGTACATTACACCGAATTCAGTCTAGAAGCAACTAAATCAAATTTGGACAAAATCGCTTCAGATATAGCTATAGCTCACATATATATATTTCATCTGGTTTGGGTTTTTAAGTCCCTCACATAAGTAATATGCACTCCAGAAGAATGATATTTGGTACCGGACATCAGATACTGCTCGAAAATACCTCTGTAGAATTTTATCAGAATCAGTTCCGATTAGGATATTGCCCCCACATATGCCCTTGTCCAATATCAGATTTATTGTGCACCAAATAGCTAATATCAACCCAATGGACTTAATTTTGGCAGTTACGACGGAATTGATCCTATATTTGGTGAAATCGGTTCTGAAATAGCTATAGCTCCCATATATATGTTTTATCCGATTTTGGGGTTTAAAGTACGTAATATGCGTAATATGCATCTCACAACAATGATCTTTGGTGCCATGTATCAAATACAACTCTGAAATAAGCGTATCAAATTTTGTCAAGATCGGTTCACATTTGGATTTAGCTCAACCGATTTCTGTTTAATTGTGCACCAAATGGCCAATATCAGTTCAAATGACCTGAATTTTGGCATATCTGGCCGAATTCAGTACAGAAGTAAGTACATTAAACTTGGTGAAAATCAGTTCAGATATAACTACAGCTCCCATATATGTTTCATTTGATTTGGTGTTTAAGTCCCTCACATTCGTAATCTGCATTCGGCAACAATGCTATTTGGTACTAGTTATCAGATGCAGCTCCGAAGTAAGTCTATCTAATTTTGTCAATAGCGGTTCAGATTTGGATATAGCTCCCATATATATCCTCAACCGATTTAGGGTTAATTGTGCACCAAATGGCCAAGATCAGTCCAACTGACCTGAATATTGGTACATCCGACCGAATTCAGTCTAGAAGCAAATACATCGAATTCGGTTCAGATCTATATGTATGTTTCATCCGATTTGGTGTTTAAGTCCCTCACATTGCATTCGACAACAATGGTATTTGGTACCAGATATCTTATAGAGCTCAGAAATAACTTTGCTATATTTAATCGAGATCGACGGAGATTTGGACATATCTCCTATATATATCCTCAATCCTTTTTAAGGTTTATTGTGCATATGACGGCTAATATCAGCCCAAATGGAGTGAATTTCGGGACGTACGGTTCCATTTTGTGCAACTCGGCTCCGATATATTAATTTTTAATATAATCCTTCTCGAAGTGATATCATGCATTCTATACCAAACTTATATGGTATAAAAGATTAAAATGTCTCTGTCAAATTTAGTGAAAATCGATTCAAAATTGGATATACCCCCATATATTAGTTCCCTCTGAAACCAAACTATAACTGCTCTAAAGCCAAATGTTGATAGGTAGAATGATCTACTTCAAATAAATTATTTTTTACAGGAGCTCTACTAAATATGCATAGTGGTGTAGGGTATCATATAGTCGGCCCGCCCGACTATTGACTTTACCTTACTGGCTCCAACCACTATATTGTTTTTATACCCTCCACCATAGTATGGAGGCTATATTAAGTTTGTCATTCCGTTTTTTATACCTCGAAATATACGTTTTAGACCCCACAAAGTATTTATATTCTTGATCAACATAAAATTCTGTGTCGATTTAGCGATGTCCGTCCGTAAGTACTTCTGTCCCTCTGTCCGTCTGTGGAAATCACTCTAGCTTCCGAACGAAATGAAGTAGACTGATAAAATTTTACTCAAATGTATATTATGTCTGCAGGTATTGAACATGGGCATTGTAGGTCCACGTTTTTGTATAGCCCCCATATAACTGTACCTCCCGATATTCGGTATTTTGATAATATTAGCGACATTATTCGCGGGAATTGTTTCAAATTTGATATTTGATGTACTACAGCCTATGACATAAAATTGTATGTGCAGGTCCACGTCTTCGTATAGCCCCCATATAATGGTACCTTTCTATGTTTGGTATTTTGATGATTTTAGCGACATTATTCATCGGAATTGTTTGAAATTTAGTATTTGAAGTTCTGCAGCCTTAAGCAAAAAATTGTCTGTACAGCTCCACATTTATTTTAGCAGGACGACGTCGTCGTTTAGACCCTAATTTGACGGCTATATTTGATATTTTTAAAATTTTAATACAATTTTTAACCGATTTTATTATTACAGTTTTTTTTTACTTCTTTGGCAACTATAACTGCATTCTCCTACCGGTCTTTCTGGAGTTTGTAGTTTACAGTGGAATATGTTTGATTCCTGATACTTATATATAAAAGTGTTTTCTTTACCTAATGATGGAGGGTATTAGAAGTTCGGCCCTGCCAGCTTAATTACTTTTGCAATATTAAAACATGAAATACATCAAACTGTTGTACATATTCATTTTGCAAAATACTAGAATAGCTTTAGAATTTTGTATTTTACAGAGTTTAAAATAGTTTTTACAATGCATTACAAAAAAGGATATCTGCCTTCCATAAAATGGCTCAACAGCGAAATCGATCTGCTCTCGGGTTGAGTAGTGGCTTTTGTTAATAGGATTTAGTGCCTTAGTTTACTCTCTCATTGTTGAAGCTGATTTCGTTTAATAAGTCATAATGTGCATAATGAATTACCGCGAAAATGCAATTATTGAGTTTACAAGTTCTTGGAATTATTGCACAAAGTCCATTGCATATTCCATTTTGCATTAACTCATCTTGGAATAAACAATAATAGCTAAAAAGTAAGGATGTTTTGTAAAATGGCTCAGTAATCTGGGGGAATTCATAGGAAACAGCACACAGTTTGGAGAAAATCGGTAATACATTCTGAGTCCTTGTATCTACTAAACTATAGTTCAGCAGAGTATAAAAACTAAGCCGACATACCAAAATCATGTCATCACAAGTGTTATTCATTCGAGAAAACAGCAGCCCTCATAGATCTTCCTTCGATTATTCAAAACGTTAAACTGCTAAGCAAACGATGCGTGTAACTAAGCGAAATTATCCAATGTGTATGTGCCTAATTTTTTTTATTATTATAACCTGGGATTATGTATCCTCTACGGCACAAGTCCGCCAGTTTTATTGTGGTAATGATATTTACAATTACTTTCTTACCAACTGCAAGGAGTACTACAATAGGCCATATAAACGGATGGGTATGTATTTGAATTTTTTTGTAAGTAAACATATTTTTGAATATTTTGTAAATACTATTTTTTATTAAGTGTTGATTTAACAAGAAATTCAGTGCAGTTTAACGTTTCTTTTCCATATGTGCATTTGTAGCAGATCCGTTTTATGGAACTTGCTATACAAGGTTTTAAAACGAAAAATAAAAAACACAAGTAAAAAAGCTATAAATTCAGCCGGGCCGAACTTCGAATAACCTCCATCACTTAGAACGAATTTGGCAATTTTCAAAAATAAAATCCGTTAAAAATTCTGTTAAAATCTTAAAATTACCGAATGTAGCCATTATATTAGGGTCTATACGACCACGGGGACCTGCATAGGCAACTTTTGTCTTAAGCTATTACAATATTCAAATGCGAATCCTGGAAAAAACCGTTCATAACGTAGCTAAAATCATTAAAATACCAAATACCATTATATAGGGGCTGTACCAAAACGTGGACCTGCGCAGACAAGTTCCTGTCATGGGCTGTAGTATCCATTTCGAAATTCAAATAGCAAATTTTAAGCAACTCCGGTGAATATTGTGCTAAAATAATCAAAATACCGAATATCGGGAAGTACCGTTATATAGGGGCTATACCGAAACGTGACCATATAGAGGCTATACCGAAACGAAACCAATTTTCAATACAACCTACTTCATTCCGTTCGGAAGCTGGCGTGATTTCCACAGACGGACGGACGGATATCGCTAAATCGACACAGAATGTTATGCTGATCAAGAATATATACATTGTTGGGTTTAAAATGTATATTTCTAGGCGTTACAAACAGAATGACAAATTTAATATACCCTCCATACTATGGTGGAGTGTATAAAAACGAAGCATTCGGTAAATGAGGCCTATGCCTAGACAATAACTACGATGTAGTGGAACCCAATTGGAACTTCAAATACCAAGCTTCCAACAACTATGTTATATATCCCGATTTCCTGTTATATGGGTGCTATAGGAATACAATTTTCAAACATCAATAGAAAAATAAACAATGTGTCTAAAGTTTAGTTGAAAAAAAGTGTCCTAATTTGTCAGAATACAGAATATTGGGAGGTACCTAGATGTAAAATTGAACCTCTATAGACATGTTTGACTATAATCATTCAAATGTCGAATCACAAGAGGTACCAAGGGATTGTCCAAACTTGGTACATCGTGGGCAATAGGTCCATTGGGCAATATAGGTCCACTCCTTCTGGTACCTCCCTTACAAAATATCAAAATTTTTACTAAAAATAACATGAAAGAATCATCCATTTTTTTCAAACTTTGTAAATTTTAATATTCGTATAAGTGCTCAGTCAGGTGCGAAAATGGATAATATAGGCCGACTGCTTCTGGTACCTCCCTTACAAAGGGTAAATATTTGGAATAATCTCAACTTTTGTAAAATGTAAAATAAGAGCACAGTTGTCTTTAAATTTCTCGTATCCCAATATTTCTAACAACTCTAGGTCTGGTATGAAGATAGCATAGGTCGGACTACTCGTTCTGGTACCTCCCCTTCAAGTAATCAAAATTTTGCATAACCATGATGCTCATAAAACGCGAAATGAACATCCGATGCCTTTAAATCTTCGCACATCATAATATTTCTTTCAAAAAATATCTAGTGTGAAGATGGAATATATAGATCTACTCCTTCTGGTACCTCTCCCATAAAGTGTCAAATATTTGAATAACTTAAACACTCCTAAAAGACGAAATAGGCATCCAATTCTCTTTAAAATTCACACGTTGATATATTTTTTGCCACTACAAGATCTAGTGTGAAGATAAGATATAGCGGCTCACTCCTTCCTATACCTCCCCCACAAAGGGATCAACATTTTGAACCAAAACTCTCATAAAGTGCGAAATAAGCTTCGAATTCTATTCAATGGTTACTCGTCCCAATATTTTTATTAACACAAGATCTTGAATGAAAATAACAGATATCAGCCCACCCCTTCTAGTACCTCCCCCACAAAGGGTCGCAATTTTCAAACTCATAACTAGCCAAAAAGAGTCATCCATTTTTTCAAACATGGTTTCTCTTAACCAGAAATCTAATGTGACTATGAAATTAATAGGCCCACTTCTGGTACATCCACCACAAATAATTACGACTATTCTCGAACATTTTAAAATAAATGTTAGATTTTCTTAATATTTTGTACATAGCAAACAGTATTACATAAAGTGGAAGACTTTATCTGCGACATCACACACATTTCAACATTAAAAAAAATTATTATTAAATCGTCATAGAATTGTATATTGGTCAAGAATGGGCGGAACTTTTTATAACCTCCATTTCTAACTTGACCTAAGGACAAATCGGCAAACCTCAAAGTTCCTGATATTTGTAAGATCCGTTATATGGGGACCTATAACCTATATTGCTTTTTTGTGGAGGAGAAACTCACATCTTATTTGATTAGACATTAGGGTCGAAATCTTCAAAATACCGAAAATCAGGTGGTATTGTTTAATGGGAACTATCAACAAAAAAAAAAAAAAAAAACGACGTACTTGGGCCGAACTTTTGAAGAAACTTAAAAAATGTTAAAATAAATACCGTTTAAATAAAAACCTTTATATGGGGGCAATACGAAGACGAGGACTTGTATAAGTTACTTTTTTTCATAGGCTGTAGTATCCATTACGAACTTTAAATACGAAATTTTAAACGATTCCGGTAAAAAATATTGCTGAAATCATCAAAATACCGACTATCGGAAGGTAACGTTATATGTTGGGTATCCGAAGTCGTGGGCTTACATAGACAATTTTCTGTATTTTGCTATAGTTTCCATTACGAACGTCAAATACAAAATATGAAACAATTTTGGTGAATAATGTCGCTAAAATCATCAAAGTACCGAATACAGGGAGGTACCGATATATGGGGCCTATACGAAAACGTGGACCGACATAACCCATTTTCGAATTTAACCTGCCTACTAGCAAAATACGCATGTGCCCAATTCGTTCGGAAGATAGCGTGATTAAAACAGACAGGCAGACACACAATCAGACCTATACATACAATTTTTTGGCACCGGAGCTATGACCAATTACAACTTCCAATTTTTAGACAAATCCGTGAAAAAATGTGCCGAAAATCGTCAGAATACCGAATATCGGGATGTACCGTTATATGGCGGCTGTACCAAACCGTTGACCGATATATCTCATTTTCAAAACCAACATTCCTAGACAAATTGTTTTGCCGAATTGTGAAGCCCTACGTCACATAATGTGGGCTGTATGGGATAGACGGACATCGTTAAATCGACTTTGAATTTTATGCTGATCATGAATATGTATTTTATGGGGTTTACGACGAATATTTAGTTAATAGTTAGTAACAAACGGAATGACAACATTAATATACGCTCCTTTTAAATGTGAGTGGTAAAACTGTCGTCGTTTTGGCGAATTCTGACACTTGATTGTGATTCAAACGGAGTGTTCGATTTGATTCAATGCAGAAACGATCATTTCGTATAGATCAAACCAAACGACTGCATTAACAAAAATCATGTAAGAAATTTAGAATGATTGAATTATTCTTACTCGTTGCAGCCCTCTGGTCTTCATTGTATGAAGATAATTTGAAGCATAATTTTATTTCCAATCATTTCTAATATTCTAATGTTAATATTCTTACTTAATACATTTGTTTTTTATTTATTTATTTATTTATTTATTTATTTATTTTTTTTTGGAATTGACTACATCTATTTCAGGCTACGAACAATTTGATATGCCAACTTTATTTGCTGATGGCAATGACTTAGCTGATAGAACCTACGAAAATAAGAACAAAGGCAGCTCATTCCTTTCGAACATCTATGAGGGTTTGATGTTGGCAAAAACACAAAATCGCCTAAAAAGGGGCGTATATGATGAATGCTGTCGAAAGCCTTGTACCGAAAGTGAAATATCTTCTTACTGTAGGAAAGTTTAATTACCATATCCAGAGGAATGTCAAAATAAACAAAAATATGGAAGGAGACGAAGCCGTTTCAGCACAGAACGTGCGATGTGGGTGTTATCAAACGATTTGTCTTATATATTTATATCAAAAATAAATGATTCATATAACCACCAAAGAATAAGATTATTATTATTATTAAACATATAAAATCCAATCCAAAAATACATTACTTGACAATATTATATCCTCAAAGATTTCTTTGTGTTAAGAAAAATTAAAATTTGTCTTTTCTTTTATTTGAAAATGTTCATCCCCACCCGCCAAGCAAGTGCTTAAAACTAAAGTGGAATTCGTTGATTTTGTTCTAGTTTTTTTTTTTTGTTTTTTTTTTTTTCTGCTTCTTTTTCTTTTTTTATTTGATTTAGCCAACTGTCTTGTCCTGCTCATAAAATAAAGAAAGCAATCAAAAGTATAAAGACTTTTCGTTTGTTTAATTCCTTAATTGTGTTTGCGAAATAAATATTATCAAATCTTGACCATCATAATGGTTACCTGGGAACGAATTGATGGCAATATCTGGGCACAGGATGTCGTTGAAATACAATTTTTAGAACAAATATTAATGATGGAGGGATGCTTTGTTCAAGAAAAAAAATAAAAAAAAAAAACAACAAAGAAAACAATATGGTAGATAATTGACCCTGATTGTGATATATTGTTAAGGTTTTATGTGGATGAGTCAGCGATTTTTTTTTGAAATGTTTGTTAGTATCTATTCTATGGGACGTTTGAAGAGTGGCCAGCTTTTTTAATTTCTCATTATGGAAATTATAGGCAATGTGAGGTATATATTTGATATGGAAGAAAGTCGTAAAAAATGAAAAGGGAAATTATTAAACCACTAAGGAAAAGTCAAAACTCGGGCGGGCCGACTATATGATGCCCTACACCACTATGCATATTTAGTACAGCTCCCATAACAAAAGAATATATTTCAAGTAGACCGTACCTCCTATCAACATTTGGCTTCAGAGCAGATAATTCGGTACGAGAGGAAAGGAATATATTGGAGGCATACCCAATTATGAATCGATTTTCACTAAATTTAACAGAGAAATTTTAACCTTTTATAACAAATAACATTACTATAGAGTGAATGATATCACTTCGAGAAGTATTATATCAAAAAAATATGCATCGGAGCCGAGTTACACAAAATGAAAACATACATCCCGAATTTAATTCCATTTGGACTGATATTAGCCAAATAATATCACAATAAACCTAAAATCGGTGAGATGAAAATACTGCAATCAACTTCAGACTGCTGTCATTTCTAAGCCACTAGTCCGACAGCTGTTAAACTTATTCCAGTGAGAGCTCATTTTATTGTTTACAAGCGTACAAAAGCATTTTTGTGAGAATTTTCCAGTAAAAAAGTTATTCGTGATGGAATTCAAGCGTGATTGTGTGATTTATTTATATATTTCTGGAAAACGACAAGTGGCTATCGTTAGAACACTCCAGCATTTAAATGTGAATAAATCTTATGTGTCTTGTACCATCACTCGTTACCGTGATACTGGTAGCGTAGCCCGGCGTCAAGGAAGTGGACGGAAAAAACAGCAACATTAGCAGAAATGGTTCGAAAAAGAAAAAGAAATGATAGAAATCCGCGTCGCAGTAGCCGAAAAATGGCTCGTCTGCTGAACATATCGCAATATTCCAAGCCGTTGAAATTCCAAAAAGTGCAAGAACTTACACCGCACAGAAAGAAAATAGACTCAAAAGAGCTAAAGAGTTGCTTCGCTTGACCGAAAGTGATGAACTGCTGAATTTGGTTTTCTCCGTTGAGAAAACATTCGTTGTCAGCAGTTTGTAAACAAACAAAACGATCGTGTTTACTTGCCAAAGTAGTCAGCTGAAAATGTGCACCTTCGGTTGGCCACCAGAACTCAAGCGCCGGCCATGGTGATGGTGTGGGCTGCCATAACAGCCGATGGTCGCTCTCCGCTTGTATTAATCGACCGTGGCATCAGAATAAATGCGAAAATAGTCTAGACGCAAATAGCTGGGCACGCAAACATTTTGGCCGTATACCTTGGACATTCCAATAGCACTCAGCACGCGCCACCCGAGAATGGTTACAAGCGAGGAACCGCTTCTTTCCCAGCCCACATTGGCCACCAAAATCTCCGCATAAAAATCCGTTGGATTATTGAGTCTGGAATATTTTGCAAAGCAAGGTTGGCACTAAAAAATACCAAAGTGTCGATCACCACAAGGTAGCGCTTCGCCGAGAATGGGCCAAAATACCGCAGAGCAACATTCGGGCAGCGTGTGACGGTTTCATTGGCCGTTTGAAGGCCATAGTTCGTGCCAAAGGTGACCAATTCGAACAAATCTAAAATTATTCTAAGATTTTACGCTATTTCCGACATTTCTGTTTTTAATCCATAGAATTTAAAAAAAATGTAGAAATGATGGCGTTTGACTTTGTTACATTTTTTTTATCTCACCATGTATATGTGAGCTATATCCAACTCTTGGCCCATTTCGATAATATTTATCAAATGTATTTCCGAAAAATATCTGGTACAAAATATTATTGTTGTCGAATTCATATTACGAATGAGTGGGACTTAAACACCAAATCGGATGAAACATATATATGGGAGCTAAAGCTTTATCTGAACCGATAAAAAGTATAAATGGGAGCTTTAGCTATATCTGAACAGATTTCCAACAAATTTGACAAACTTGTTTCTTCCGTCCGTATTTGGGCTAATATTTCACATTTGGTGCACAGTTGATGGCAAATCCGGCGAAGATATATATGGAACCTATATATAAATTTTTACCGATTATCTCAAATTTTAATAGGGTTCGTCCTGGGACCAAGCAAATGTTTTGTGCAAAGTTTACAAATGTTTACAAAAATACATGGAGAGATGGACGGACGGACAGAGGGCATGCAAATCATGATTCTATGCAGATCATCAAAAAGAACTATGGTCGATTCCTTCTCTATGTTACAAACAAGTGCACAAATACATAATAACCTGACCCCAGTATGGTGTAGGGTATAAAAAGTACGATGACGTGGACCTGCATACGAATTTTTCTTCCACAGGATGTAGCAACCATTAAGATTTCCCAATACGAAATTTGAAACGATTCAGGTGAATAATGTTGCTGAAATCATCAAAGTACCGAATATCGGGAAGACGTGGACCTGCATACAAAATGTTTGTCATAGGCAGTAGCACCCATTACGAACTTTAAATACGAAATTTGAAATAATTCCGAATATCTGGAGGTACCGTTATATGGGGCTATATAAAAACGTGGACCGAAGAAACTTCATGCAAGTAAAGAAATTGCAAAAAAAATATGTAAAAAAGCTGTAAGTTCGGCCGGGCCGAACTTTGAATACCCTCCACCATTTGGAAAGAACTTGGCAATTCCCAAAAGCAATAAAATCCGTTGAAATTTCTGATAAAATCTTAAAAATACGGAATATAACAGCTAATATTAGGGTCAATACGACGACATGGACCTGCAAAGGTAACATTTGTCATAAGCCATTACAATATTCGAATGCCAAACCTAAAAAAATCGGTAATAATGTAGCTAAAAACATCAAAATACCGAATATCGTTAGGTACCGTTATATGGGAGCCATACGAAGACGTGGACCTGCACAGACAATATTCTGTCTTAGGCTGTAGTACCCATTATGAACTTCAAATACGAAATTGGAAACAATTCTGTTGAATAATGTCGCTAAAATCATCAAAATACAGAATATCGGGAGGTAAAGATATATGGGGGCTATACCAAAACGTGAACCTACATGGCCCATTTTCAATACCAAAAGTTCTGCAGACATAACATACATTTGAGTAAGATTTTATCAATCCACTTCAATTCGTTCGGAAGCTAGAGTGATTTCCACAGACGGATAGACGGACAGACGGACGGATATCGCTACATCGGACATCGGCATAGAATTTTATGCTGACCAAGAATATATATACTTTGTGTGGTCTAAAATGTATATTTCGAGGTGTTATAAACGGAATGACAAACTTAATATACCCTCCATACTGTGGTGGAGGGTATAAAAAAAATATATCAGAACAATGTTTTGTAAGCACTTTTTTGTCTTACAAGAGCTAGACTATATGTTTTTGGTAGTAGAACTTAACTTTAAAACCAATTCTTGAATTTTCCATGAACAATTTACAGAAATTTGTCGGCAATTTGACATCTTATCAAAGCCTAAAGTCCACCTTTACAATTCACCCTGGATTCTGGCCAAATAAATCACAACCTGGCCACTCTGCCATTTCGATAGCTGAATAAATAGAACAACTATATTGTCAACAATAACTTTTTCTTTAAAAATTAAATACAAAACAACAAACGAACATCTACCCATACTCATAAAAACTTTTCTTGGCATTGACAATACATTTATTTGTGTTTCTCTCTCTCTCTTCTGTTTGTGTCTTTTCAGATTGTTCTTGGAGTTTTATTTATTTTTGGCAACAACAAACAACAACTGGATGTAATTTGGGCTTGTGTTAAGCGGGATAAGAAGAACTGCTGAACGTAAACTGTGCTATCGCCTCTAACAGAGTCTTGAAAATTAAAGCCAACAAAATAAAGTGAAAATAATAAAACAACAGTTAACAGAATCATTGAAACGTCTGTAATGAACGGCACAAACACCAAGGCAAAGGGAAAGAAAAAGACACCGATGTTCGCGATAAGAGAAAATCAACAGAAAAACAAACGGAGAAGAGAGAAATTGTGCTTTAAAATCAATTATTGAAAGTAAAACAATAAAAATGTCAATGGAAAATGCCATGGAGACTGCCAGGGCTACAACGGACTGGAGCAATATCCGTGAAGTTTGCTCAAAGGACAATAAAAAACAGAAAATGTCAAAATAAATATTTTCTCATGCTTTGTATGAAACTGTACGTGTGTGTGTTGCTAACAACGAGCATTGTCACACCTGACCAATTGTATTTCTCTCATTGTTTCGACGAACAATACGCCAATCCTTGTATGGAAAACATAAAAGAATGCGCAAAAAGTGAAGTGAAA